ACTTTAGTAGTTTCACGCTCAACTGATCTGGTGCAAATGACGCGCGCGTGACGATGATTGCAACGCTATTTTCGCAGCGTCTGGGCAACGCAGATTTCTCATTGAGTTCAAACTATTGAAGCAACATTCAGTTCTAGTCCATTTCCTTATCCCAGCGAACATGAGAACTGAATTCAATCAGATAGGAAATCTAAAAAAAACTTACTGGTTTCTCTGGAAGGAAGGAACGACTCTGTCGAGTAGGAATCTCATGAACAACATGAAATCATCCGTTCCAAACGAAGACGAATGCAATCGGAACTGGCCCATCTCCAGCTGATCCCAACCGGCTGTACACAGACTACACCTGAAATAAATCTGAGTTATGTTGGAGTATTCGCGGGACCACATACTCAAACGCATCGTTTGGCACAAGTAGATAATTTACACATCCGAGAATCCAGTTTTGGGATTTATGACATCATTTAGCTCGAATTTTAGGGAGCTCGTAACATCCTTGTGTGGGCGAGACTCAGTAAGCCCTTTAGTGGGTATCCTGACATAACAACGATGCGAACTAATAGCAAAGCCTGGGCGACTAGAGCATCTTGCAGGAACAAAGACATCGGTGCCATCGCCCCGAGTAACTCTGTGAGCAACGGAACACAGGTTCCAGGCGATCAATAACTATATGAAGTTTTGCGCGACAATCATGTAACAGATCGCTAGCGCTTAGGGTTGCAGTCTCGTTTACTGCGGAATCTGGGCGTGTCAAGTACAGCGGGGCCAGCTGAGCTCCCTTCCCTTCTCTGACACGCATGAGCATCCGTAGCGAACAATACTATACCTCATTAACCGTGCCAGGAAAACTGGAGTATTGCCCAGTGGGGTAGCTTGACCTCTGAACATACAAATCATGCGCTCAAAACCGCCTTGAAGCCGCATGATTTTGCCTTACTCAAAACCGTCTGCGGGCCCTCGCCATAGGCTTTGGTGCCAAAACTCCTGGAAACACCAAGATTTGTTAAAAGTTCGTCACCAGGGCTGATTAGGCTCCTTGAACAGAATTACCCTATTAGCTTAGCGTTAAAACACCTTGTACGAACGCTATAGGCGTCGGCGCCAATACTTGTGACACTAATGACCTTTCGCGTGAACGGCAGACGTTTTCGCTTCAAGCGAATGAGATTGTCATGTTCACGGGACAAGACTATCTCCGTAGCAAACTTTGGGTCGAATATTGCGCATAAGAAAAGTTTCTAGCAAAAAATATGATCTATATCTTGAAGTGGGGGCAAAAAAGGATTAATACTGAACCGAATCCACTGGGACGTGGGGGGGGTCAAGTCTGCGTTTCCGAAAGCATATAATTTCAATCAAAGAAACGATTCGAAGACACAAAAAACTTAGCCCTTGTCGAGGGTTCAACATATTCATTAAGGAGTGGGTCTCAAACGAAGTCAGCGCTCCTAAGTAGCTAAGCTACCCTGTCCTTGGCAGAATCCGAAAGAAATCGATAAGAAGGCATAGGTAGTCAGTCTTGGAAAACTGGTTCATCACCAAATGTTGTGAATGGTTACGAGTAACTGAAAGAAGTCGCGCGCACGCTTACTCATTCAATCTCTTCAACGAGGTCAGTCAACGGGGTGCCGACATGAGAGAAAGGACTTGAGTCGTCTTGAGATTGTTCTTTGAACGCGGAACCCAAAGATTCTCTTTTCCCTTCCCCACTTTTGGAAAGCTG